TTTGCAACCAAAAAAATATGGTGGCTTAAACTAAAAAAATATATTGCATACTTATTATAAAAATAAAACATTAATACTATTAGCCATTACAAGAAAAATTTTAATTTTATATTATTAATAATATAAAAAAGATTTAGTAATTTTATATTCAATATATTAATAAAAGATAATATTTAAGAAAAAAGAAATATTCTAATAAATAACATTTAAATAATACATTTATAATTTAAAAAGTTTTATTTTGTTATTATGATGTTTTCAACAAGAAGTTTATTAATATATATATGCTTTCAATATATTTGTATTATTAATAATTTATATTATTTTAAATATTTATATTTATATATTTTTATATTATTCTTCTTTATATTATCTGTATTAATTTTTAAAACTTTTGAAATATATTTATACTCTTATGATAAATCATTTAATTGTATAATTAATCAGTTTTATTACTATGTTTATATTGCATAGCAAATTTAAAAAATAGAAATTTATTATTAATTTACCTGATTGCATTATTCCAGTTAATTCAATTTTGTCTCCTTTATATAAATTTAAATCATTATAATTATTATCATCGAAATTTATAATGTGTACTTCTAATTTAGAATATCCGTCGGTTAAAGAACCACATCCTATTATTTTATTTAATTTGTTATTATATATGGCTGCAAAATTTGTTTTTATGTATCCTTCCAGAACTGTAAAATATATATTAATTAATAATATTAATATAAGAGTTAAACATTCATATGTATATTATATAGATAGGACCATAAATTTCGGAAAGGCTAATTATTTCAAAAAGTATTGGTTTTATGGAAAAATATTTCAAACAAAAGTTATAGGACTTAAAAAAATATATTTATTGGTCTTATCGGTTTGACTTTGGGTGGTGTCGTCAAGGTCAGGTAAAGATTATATTAATTTTTTCATACAGATTATCTTTTTAATTCTAGAATTTTTGATTTGATTCTAGATTTTTGATTCTAGAATCTAATAGCTGGCGTCAAGAGTTTTCCAAAACACTTAGGTAAAATATTTTTTGATTGAATAAATCTTGAGTTGATATGATAGTGAATTTTGAGTATGTTATGAAGCTTGAAAGTTATAGTACCGCCAGTATTAACATTATCCAAAGTGTCCGAACAATGGTTAAAACTTTTTGAATATTGTTCAGGATCATGAGCTTGATGTATGTCAAGGTTATTACCATTGAAAGTTCCTGTTTTTTCAAGAAATACAAATAATTTTTAAAAATAAAAATGAAAATAACAACTTTTAGCCATGATCTTGATATATATTGTCATGGTTATGATCCTGAACGACATTTAAAAGATTTTAGCCAGTATTCAGATTCCTTGGATAATGCTAATGCCGATGGTACTGCAATTTTCAAATTTTACAACTCAAGTTTACTTAACAAAAAAATATTTTATTTAAGAGTTTTGGAAAGCTCTTGACACCAGCTATTAGATTTTAAAATAAAAATAGCATATTCCGTTTAAAAAAATTAATGTAACCTTTACCTGATTTTGGTGATGCCACCCAATAAGGTCAAACCGAAAAGACCTGTAGTAAATAGATTTTTTTAAGCTTTACAACTTTTGTTTGAAACATTTTTCTGTAAAACCAATATTTCTAAAATATAATTAGCCGTTCCGGAACTTTTCCTTACTGTATATAAAATGTATTATTTTAAACAGCGCTCACTAATTACATATTGTTCGTCTAAAGGACGACGCTAATTAAATTAATTTTATTTAGTAAAGTATTAAATTTTATTAAGCATTGTAGAAAAAATAGTTCAGAACTTTTTGACTCAATTTTTAATAAAGAATAACGTTATATAATTAACCTAGTATGCTTAATTTAAGAAACACTATGTGTATGTATATATATATATATATATATATATATATATACTATATAGAATATCCCGAAATTCACGAATCAAAATATTATAGCAAGAAAGTCTTTGAAAAGTTAAGGAAAAAAGTTATTTGTAAATTTTTATTTTAAGTAGTAATCTCAAAAACTATTGCTTAAATTAAAAATTTGCAAATAACTTTTTTACTTAATTTTTCGAAAACTTTTATGCTATGATATTTTAATTTGTGAATTTCAGAATACCCTGTATATACTCAAAAATAAATTAATGATGAATTATTGAAAACTTACTGACATGCGTTGAAGTATTCATTACGTTCAAAAATTCGACTCGTACATTTGATTTAATAGATATGTTATAACTACCCAAAGAAGATATAACAGTGTTTGATTGAATTATTCGTAAGGCACATTGCCATTATTAAAATGAGCTATTTTAGGTGTACGAGCTTGCACACCATCTAAATGTATAATCTGTAATAAAGTAATTTATTACGTTACATGTTATACATACTCACACATACACACACACGCACACGCACACACACACACACACATACACACACACATTCTATCCAAGTAATAATTCATACGTATGTTTATTTATATATTTGTATACATGTACATGTGTTTGTATAAATATACAAAGTATTAAAATAGAAAATTTAGTTTAATTTTAACAACGTTTTGTATTATAATCATAAAAATTAAAATAGTTCACCAAATTATAGCTCTAGAAAAACTTCTGGATATATACGAATCCAAATTACATATGTTTTAAAATACTTACACAGTTGGATTTTATGTAATTCTCAATGCGATCAATTTCCTCGTTCCAAACAATGACTTGTACACGTTTGCCAGAACCATTATTTAAAAAAAATTTAAAAACTTTATATTGGTTTGACGAACCTACAAGACGTGGAGCTTCTATCCCATCCACGTAACCTACAATTTCGCTAGAAAAATAAAATTATTAAAAGTATATGTTTTATGTATTATATATGTAAAAATAAAATTTTAAAAAATATATAACATCAAATAAATATAATATAAATATATATAGTATCTCCGGAAGAAAGGTCAATATTTTGGAAGGTAATGATATCTATCACGTTAAGTAAAAATATTCGTATAAATGTGTATCCTATTCCGAATGGTTTCCGAGATAAAAGGGATATTTAAAAAGTAAAGATATAAAATCCGAAAGATATTGTTAAAGCATTTTATTTTGAGATTGATTTATTCTACTTTTGAGAACACATATTTATTTATTTTTCAACATAATTATTCTTTAATGTAGATTTTAATGCATTTGGTAAAATCTAATTTCTTAATTTCAACTTCATAGAAATCTCGAGCTTGCTCTTTTAACCACATCATCACCGCGTCTTGTCGTTATCAAATTTCATTCAAAGAGATGTTCTTTTAACTTAGTAAATAAGTTTTAAATAGTTGCTTAATATAAGATCTGAGCTGTAAATGAGCTAAACGATATATGAACATTTTTGCATAACGTGATCGATATCATCTCCTAGAATATTGATCTTCTCCCCTGAACACTCTATATATAAATTATACTACACAATATAATATATTTTTATTAGAAATAGTTTAAAGTGACACTTACATTGTTGAATCAAAAATTTTAATATTATCGAAAACTTCATTGGGAGTTAACAATGTTAAGTTATTTAAATTTTCTAATTCAGAATGCATAATTTCGGGTTTATCCGAAGAATTATTAGAAATATTATTTTCTTGATTCATCTTTGTATATAAATTTTCCTTAAAAAAATTAATAACAAAAGGAAATAATTAGTAAACGTGAAAAATTCTATATTAAATGAAAAAACAACAAACGTAAAATATAAGATAAAAAACGAGAAATTCCTTGTATATATGTGTGTGTATGCGTGCGTGCGTGCGTACGTGTGTATAATATGTGTGTGTGTGTATGTGTGTGTGTGTGTGTGTGCGCGCGTGCGTGCGTGCGTGCGTGTGTGTGTGTGCGTGTGTACGCGTGTGTGTGTGAGGGGATGGATGAGTGAATATAGGTGTGTGCGCGCGCGTGCATATGTACGTGTATATATATATACCTATATTTATTATAGTAATCAAAAATCGAAATTATAGAAAAAATTTTTTTAAATCTACATTTTTAAAGGCTAACAAAATAGATTAAACATTAAAGAAAAACTAATAAAAATCTGCATACATGTACATATATTTTTACATTATATATATGATAAATACATCTGTCATGTTCAAAATGTTAAAATGTACATTTCACATATCTATATATAACATATTTATATGTAACACATCTTTTAAAATATATTACAATTTCAAAATTTTTTCGTGCAAAACAAAAATTAATTTTTTAAATCATTTTCGTCTTAAATTGAAAAAAAATTTGTTTAAATAGATATCCATTTTTCCTATTTTTCAGTAAATAATTAAGTTTAGTTATAAATTTTTAAAAATTATTAGATTATGTTACTAATATTGATATACATATTTATAACATACAAACTTGATGACTATATTATATATTTGTAAATTTATAATTTATAAATTATATAAAATTAAATTTTGACATTTAAGTTTTTTATATTTTTATTTTTTTGGAAAAAGTATTATAATATCTTAAAAGAAATATTATAAAAATAAAAAATATAGTTCAAGTATTAAAAAATTAAACAAAAATGTATGCCATTGAAAAAACTTAATTTAAAAATAAATATAAATGGAAACAAATAAACTTTTTTAATCATTTTATATCTAATTATTCTTATAAAATATAAATTATTAACATGACAAATTATTAAACAAGTAATATTATAGAAATTATTTTATTTGTATTATTAAAAATAAATATAAGGAAATACCTGAATAATTATACGTATCTTTCAAAGATTCCAAAACACTTCATATAATGAGTCTTATTTAATCTTGAATTTTATTCTCTTTTTTTCACGATCTAAGCAGCGAATTGCAATACGAAATTCTATAATATTTATGAAAAATTAGACAGGGTTAAAATAAGAAATCTAAGGAAAAGTAAATGAAAAGTAATAAAGAGAAAAAAAGAACACAGGTAGAAAGAGATGGAGAGAAAAAGAGAGCTAGAGAGGGGAGAGAAGAAGAAGAGAAAGAAGGAGAGGAATAAAAAGAGAGAGAAAGAGGAAGAAAGAGAGAAAGGGAGAGAGGGAGACAGAAAGGAGAGAGGAAAAGATTAGGATAAATGATCGAAAGTGAAAGATTGAAGGAAGAAAGGAAAGTAAAAAAGAGGAAAAAGTAAAAATTAATAAAACTTGCATTAAAAGAATCATATATTTAAAAGTATAAATTTCTAATGTTACCTTTGATATATTCTAATATAATAAATGTCTTAATTCCAATATATAATGTTAACTCCTCGTCTGTATGTATCTCTCGCGTGAACGATCAATCAATAACAAATAAATAACATATTATTATTTGTTTTTGTTGCATAGTAACATTTCTTTAAGATTTCGATTGAATGTATCACTTAGTGTATATCGAAATAATCGAATGTTCAAAAGAAAATTGTAACAAATGAAGTTAAAGTACAAGGTGAACAAATTTAAATTGTCTACAGACAAATTTTTGTGTATTCTTGCTTTATTCAATACTTGCGTTCTGTTATTCACTGTGAGTACTGAAAATCTGTAATATATGTAACGTTAACTATAGATTTTCAGTATTCGCAGTAAAAACGGAATGTATTTAATATATCGATTTAAATATAAGTAAAATGATCAAAAGGTGAGAGAAAGAGAGAGAGAGAGAGAGAGAGAGAGAAAGTGAGAAAAGAGTGATAGAAAAAAGAAGTGAGAAAACGTAATAAAATTTTTATGATAATTTATGAATACCGGTCATAATCCATTCCTATTATAAGACTGTCTTGTAATGTCTTATGATGCCAATGTAATTCTTGTGATTGATTTATGATATCTTAAAATCATACTTAAAATAATTGTTTTAAATACAAAAACCGACTGTAAATACTGACATGTGATTAACTTACATCTTAAGATAATCTTAATTACAAGGATCGACTATAAATATTGGCTTAAGTTTGTTGCAAATTATTTTTATTTAAAAGTAGGAAAAATATAACATATAATTATACATAATACATAATTAGTAATACATAATACATAATTAGTAATACATAATACATAATACATAATTATTATAATAACATTATAATCTTAAAATACATATTGGAATACAATTCATACTGGAATACTAATTCATACTGGAATACAATTCATAATTGATATCTTAACTTCATAAATTAATCCGAGATAAAAAGATGTATTATTTACGATAATATTTTAATTTTTAAAAATAAATTTTTATGTTTAAAATTATATTAAATTAATCAATTTTACTGGTTCCTATAAAAGAAAAAAAATTCTATTAATACAGGTTATTTTCAATTAAATTATTATTAAAAGATACACTCATATATATACATATAAGATATTTCATATAAGATATTTGCTTTTGTAGTTTAATAATATATTTTAAAAATAAAATAGAATAAAAGAATTTTTTCTCTAACACAAAAATTATTTTCAATAATAACAGTTTTTGAATTATAAACCAAATTAGTTAATAACATTATAAATTTATACATTTAGAAACTATACATATACATATATGTATATATATATTATATATATATGATTTAAGTAAGACCATTATACAAATAACAATATACGAATATATGTGTATACATGTTATATGTATATATATAATAATTTAAAAAATTTAATAAATTGACATATATATATGTATATTATATACATATCAATTTGTTATTTATTAATTTTTGTAAATTACTTTATAATGATTTTTAAAACTGATTTAATATCTATTTTATATATAATATACATATAGTTTTTTCATTATAAATTATTATAATTAATTATATTACATATAAAATATATACAATATATATTTTTATATATATATTACCTATTGTAACAAATTTTACTGACAATTTTCTGAGGAATTCTTCTGAAGAATACGGTTAACTTTTAATATTGTTGTTAATGATAAATGTCCATCCAATCGTTTTATATCTTTTTCACTTTGAATTAAAAAATATGATGGATCAGCTGTAAAATATATATTTATTATAAATATATATAAAAATATATTAAAATAAAACATTAATATTATTAGTTAAAGAAAAATAAATTTTAATTTTAAGGAAGTACTAATATAATAGAAAAAATATTTAATAATTTTGTATTAAATAAATTAATAAGACATGAATTAAAGAAAAGAAAACATATAAATAATGTGTTAAAATAACATAATTAAAAAAATTTTTTATTGACTATAATTTTTTAATAAAGTTTACTAACAAATATGCAATTAAATAATTTTTGTTATTGTATTTATTTTATTAAAAATTTATATCATTTTAAACTAATATTTATATTGTTTTTTTATATTATATACTCTATCTTATACTGTCTATATTAACTTCTAAACTTCTTAAAATATATACTTTTTTTTATAATGAATCATTTAATTACAGAAAACTTATCAATTTGTTATTATCTTTATCTTGTATAATAAATTTAAGAAACAAAATTTTTTATGTATATTATAAAATTTATTTTTAATTTACCTGATTGCATTACTCCTGTTATTTTGACTTTGTCTCCTTTACGAATATTAAAATCATTATAATCTTTCTGATTAAAATTCATAACGTGTACTTCCAACTTATAATTTCCGTCAGTTAACGAACCACACCCAATCATCTTATTCAGTTTGTTACTATGCATACTTGCAAAATTTGTTTTTATATATCCTTCAAAAACTATTAAATGTATATTGTTTAAAAAGGTAAAATAGGTTTTACATGAATTATATACAAAGTGTCCCAAAATTCGAAAATAATAAGATTGTATCATAAAAGTTTGTGAAAAATCAAGTAATAAAAGTCCATATAATTTTTTTTATTCATAAAGTAGTTTTTTAAGTATAAAGATTTAAGTTACAACCAATTGTAAACATTGATTAAAAAAGTTAACTTCATGTGTTATGCGTACAATAGTATTAGATGTTAAATACTTCGCAAAAATGACATGAGGTAATAAGCGTACAGTGGTAACATTTTGTTTAGTGTTGATGATCGCAAAGTATTCTACATCTAATACTATTCATACATGACACACGGACAGATTATTTTTGAATTAATACACTCTGTATATGTGTGCGTGTGTGTGTGCGTGCGTGCGTGCGTGCGTGCGTGCGTGCGTGCGTGCGTGCGTGCGTGCGTGCGTGCGTGCGTGCGTGCGTGCGTGCGTGCGTGCGTGATCGTATAACTTCGTATAATGTATG